ATCATTTTGAGACAGGGTCTCCTTGTAGCCTGGAACTCACCTGTAGACCAGTCTGGCCCCAAGCTCACAGAGATCTGCCTGCCTCTGCCTCCAGAGTGCTGGGATTAAAGGCTTGCACTACCACGCCTGGGTTAAGATTTACCTTTTTAAAGACAGGATTCTCACCACCATGATTATGTAGCCCTGCCTGGCCTGGAACTCTGGAACTCACTATATAAACTAGGCTAACCTTGAACTCAGAGATTCACCTGTCTCTGCCTCCTGAAGCCTGGGCTTATAGGCAGGCACCACCTCATCCAGAAAATTTACATTTTTAAAAACAATCTTAGGGCTGGAGAGATGGCTCAGCGGTTAAAGAGCACTGGCTGCTCTTGCAGAGGACCAGGGTTCAATTCCCAGCACCCACATGGAGGCTGAAAATCACCTGTAACCCAGATCCGACGTCCTCTTCTGACCTTCGGCACTGCATGACTGGGCACTGCATGATACGGGTGTTCTTACACACATGCAGGCACTACACTCATATACATAAAAATAACAAAATAGTAAAACAAAAATCTTGTCTTTTGAGATCTCAAAAACTTATATAAACAATGCTGTTAGAAATTTAGTTTTGCAGGGCTGGAGAGTGGCCTCAACAGTTAAGAGCACTGACTTCTCTTGAATAGGACCCAGGTTCGATTCCCAGCACCTACAAAGAGGCTAACAATTGTCCAGTTCCAGGGGATCTGACATCCTCTTCTGACCTCCTTGGGCATTGTATGACACAGGTGCACTTATACACATGTAGGCAATACACTCATACACAAAAACCAAAAATAATAATAAAAAAGAAACTTATTTTGGTAACTTCCTTAATTATTTTAAGATATATAATGGACAGAAAATCTGACTTAAAGTCTACAAGACTAGGGAGATGGCTCAGTTAGTAAAGAGCCTGTAGTACAAGCATGTAGAAGGACCTGAGTTCAGATTCCCTAGAATACACATGAAAGCTGGGTGGCACATGTCTGTAATCCAAGAGACAGGTAGATACAATGGCTTGCTGGCCAGCCAGTCTAAACAGTAGGCTTCAGGTTCAGTGACTACTTCTCAAAAATAAATTGGAAAGCCAGGTGTGGTGGTGCACACCTTTAATCCCAGCACTTAGGAGGCAGAGGCAGTAGATCTCTGTGAGTTCAAGGCCAGTCTGGTATACATAGTGAGTTCCAGGACAGCTGGGGCTACAGGGAGACCCTGTCTCAAAAAGACCAGAAATAAATTAAATAAATAAATAAATAAATAAAGTTGGTAGGGGAAGCATGGTGGCATATGCCCTTAATCTCAGCCCTGGGAAGGCTGAGGCAGGCAGATATCTGAGTTTAAAGCCAATCAGGTCTACATAGCAAGCTGCAGGGCAGCTAGGGCTACATGGATCGAGACTCTGTCTCAAAAAATCAACTAACCAACCCAACAAAAAAATGTGGAGAACAGACTGGGGAAGGACATCCTAACATCACATCTGCCTGCATGGGGGGACGTCCACCCACACATGTCTACATACACTCCACACACAAAGGCCCACACGCCTCTAGTTAGTATCATCAATACAAAGTAATCACCATCAATAATACTGACAAAGGAATAAAAGAGAAAAAGACTGGGGCCAGTGATCTAGTGATGCAGCAAAGGGGTACAATGCTTACCTTTTATGCATGAGGTTATGTGTTTAATCCCCAACATCAAGAGCAGCAAATGCTCTTAATCATTGAGTTACCTCCAGCCCCTGACATACATTTTTAGCAAGAATTCATCAAATTTAATAAAAAAAGTGATAAATTAGCTAGGTGTGGTGGCACATGCCTTTTATCCCAGCACTTGGGAGGCAGAGGCAGGCAGTTCACTGTGAGTTCAAGGCCAGCCTGGTCTATAAATCAAGCTCCAGGCTAGCTGGGGCTACAGTGGGACCCTGTCTCAAAAAGACCAAAAGAAAAAGTGATAAATTAAATCAATCTCGTTAGTTATTCTCAGCATACTTTTATCTTGAAGAGTACTCAGAGTGTCTTACATATGAACCAATTTGAATGAGAGAAATGAGGTGCCAGGGTAATGAAACATATACTCATCAACTTACAATGTCATCCCTATGGCTACCCAAAGCAAAGTGGTAACCATAATAGCTGTGACCAGATGAAATTTAATTGCAGAAAAGAAATTCCTGGGCCTATGAAATGGCTCAGCAGCAAAGGTGTTTGCTGCCAAGCCTGATAAACTGAATTAGATCACCAGGACCAACATGGTGGAAAGAGAGAATTAACTCCCAAAAAGTTGTCCTCTGACCTCTAACACACATGTTCATGTGCACACACACACACACACACACAACTTGAGCACATGAAAAAAGAATTATTTTAAAAACATGGAAGAGAATTTTTCTTTCAAAAATCTTAATTTGTTTTAAACAAGGTCTCTGAAGAGCAATTTGACATAATGAATTAAATAAAAATATGCTGGGTGTGGTGGTGCACTCCTTTCATCCCGGCACTAGGGAGAGGCAGGTGGATCTCTGAGTTTGAGGCCAGCCTGGTCTACTTAGTGAGTTCTGGGACAGCTGGGGCTACAGGGATCCTGTTTTTTATTTGATTTTTTTTTTTTTTTGGTCTTTTTGAGACAGGGTCTCCCTGTAGCCCCAGCTGTCCCGGAACTCGCTACATAGACCAGGCTGGATTTGAATTCATAGAGATCCACCTGCCTCTGCCTCCTGAACGGTGGCATTAAAGGTGTGTGCCACCACGCCTGACAGATCTTATTTTTTTTAAAAGATGGCTCTTTAGGGCTGGAGAGATGGCTCAGTGGTTAAGAGCACTGACTGCTCTTGAAGAGGACCTGGGTTCGATTCCCAGCACCCACATGGCAGCTACGGACCATCCTTAACTCCAGTTCCAGGGGAATCCAAAGCCCTCTTCTGACCTCCACAGCACTGCACGACATGGGTGCACTCATATACATGCAGGCAGTACAATCATACACATAAAATAAAAATAAGTAAAATATTTTAAAAATTGTTAAAAAAAGATGGTTCTTTCTAGTATAAGCTTAGACTTAAAACTTGTACAAATATAAAACAACATATAGTCTAAAAGGTGAAAATTTTATTATTATTTTACTCATTATTTTGGTGTAACTGAGAAATGAATAGCTGATTATGACAGAGGCTTTGCTGTGGACTGTGGGAAAGGCTGGGGTCAGCAGATTAACAGAACTAATAATGGGCCTGAGAACAGAGCAGCCAAAGATCTGAAACACACCAACAGGGCAATTTATGTAGCACTAGGATAAGGCCCTGGAGGTAAATCCCTACAATATAAAGATACTTTCCAAGTTTCCTTGACCATTAAATACAGCACTTAGCTAGACTGAAATGGAATGCATTTGTAACTAGTACACATAGTGACTTTCATGACTTTTGAGGCAAGTTTAGGAAATACTGGGGAAGAGTAAATTTGAAAAAAAAAAAAATCCTAATTAAGGAAGAGTAAACCAAGGAATAAGAAAGAGTAATCATGGTTGGATTAAGGGAAAATTCAAGATCTATTTCCTCCAGTGGAGATTAATGGAAAATTCAAAATCTATTATTTCCCCCAATGGTCAGCACTTTTTCTGTCAAGAGCAACATAGCAAGTATTTTAAGTTTTGGAGCCAAATAAGCAAAATTAAGTATATCATGTAGTGTTTATATAGCAAGAGAGAAATTCAATTCCCCAGTTTTTACTAACAAAATTCAAAAGATTAATATAGTAACAGAGAAGTATAATGTTGTTAAGAAGGCCCACTAATAAGACTAGAATTGTCCTTCAAGGGATAAAATTTCACTTAATTCAGATCCAAAGTTAAGTGTTTTCTACATGACCATCATCTGCAAATGTCTACGTGTTAGCAGTGATCTATATTTTTGTTTCATCTTTAAAAACTGTTTTTTTGCACTAATCTATACTGCCAAATATTGTTACAGATCAACAAATATGAGGCTACCCTGGGACACAAGTGAGCCTATCTCAAAAAGAAAAAAAAAATTGGATCATCCATGATGGGGGGCGGGGGATGGATGGACGGACATAGTATTCCAGCCACTGTGGAAAACATCTCGTGGGTCCTCACTTAGGCAAACACATAATTACTATGTGACTCAGCAGTTTCACTGCTAAATATGGACGGGAAAGAACTGATAACAGGTGTTTCAATAAAAACTATGTTAATTTTCACAGCAGCCAATTTATAATAGTCAAAAAGAAGAAACTACTTCAATGTCCATCTAAAGATAAGGAGATAAAAAAGTTTGTTGCATCCATATGATGAAATTCTATTTAACTAGAAAAGGAAACGAAACACTGATACATGCTACAGCATGAGTGAACCATGAAAACACTGTGCTGGTGAAAGAACTGAGACTCGAATGGCTACTTGTGGACCAGGTCCACTGCTTTGAGATGTCCAGAAGATGCAAACCCTAGTGAAAGTGGATTAGCAGTTAACAGGGGTGAGGAAAGGAGGTGTGAATGGATTGCTAATGGGTACAGGATTTCTTTTGGGGATGACAAAATGTTCTAGAATTAGATAGGAATTGCATAACTTCCGAATATACTAAAAATCACTGAACTGTATATATTGTTGTTGCTGTTATTATTATTATTATTATGATGATGATGATGATGATGATGATATTGGTCTCCGTAGCCTCAGATGGCCTGGAACTCACTATGAAGACCAGGTAGTCTCAATCTCACAGAGGTCCTCAGACTTGCCTCCCAAGTGCTGGGATTAAAGGCATGTACCACTACCTGTGGCTTTGATTTGCATACAAAGGAGTGAATTAAATGTCATAAACCTATGGAAAAATTTTGCTAAATTTTAAGCCTTTCTCAATAGAATTATTGTATTTCTTAGCTATAAAAGAGAGTATATTCGACGGGTGTAGTGGCGCATGCCTTTAATCCCAGCACCGGGGAGGCAGAGGCAGGCGGATCTCTGTGAGTTCCAGGACAGCCTGCTCTACATAGTGAGTTCCAGGACAGCTGGGGCTACAGGGAGACCCTGCCTCAAAAAGACCAAAAAAAAAAAAAGAGCATATTCAAGTTGTGTTGTTGTGTTACATGTACCCATGTCAAAAAAACATAAGGCTCAAGGGTGGAGAACACTTGGTATGAACAAGATCCCAAGTTCAACTCCAGGCATTAAACAAATTATAACCCATGGTTTTGTTTAAGTTTATAGATTTTGAGGGCCGGTGAGGTGGTTTAGTGGGTAAACGTGCTTGCTGCCAAGGCTGATGATCTGAATTTCATCCTCAGGATCCACATGGTGAAGGAGAGAATAGACTCCTACAAGTTGTCCTCTGGCCTCCACAGACAAGCTGCCCCTCCCCTCAAAATGTAAAAACCAATTAAAAAAAATTTTTTTAAGTTCATAGATTTAAAATAATTTTTAAATTTATTTTTATGTGTATGAGTGTTCTGCCTGTACGTATGTAAGTGCAATCATGTGTACAATACCCACAGAGAACAGAAGAAGGTACCAGATCCTCTGGAAAGGAAGTTATGAATAGTTGTTAGTTATGGCATGGGTGCTGAGAACTGAACCCAGGTCTTCTGAAAGGAGAGCTAGAGCTCTTAACTGCTGAGCCATTGCTCCAGCCCCAAGTTCATATATTTTATGAATGTAAAATAAGTAAACCATTAGCTAAGTCTTTGGCAATTTTGTTTGTGTTGTCAATTCTGTTTTAGTGACATTTCCTGAAAAATATTTAAACTGAAAACATTCTGAGGATTTAATCTCAATGTCAAACAAAAGCATTCAGAAAACCTAACAATTTAATAAGCAATAAAATTCAATTTCAACAGTTTCATCTTTATAAAATACTTTAAATTACTAAAAATCACTACCATATTAGAGTCACTCATTCTATGCCAGGCCCCAGAAACAGCCCAGGGGTTACAGTCATTCATTCTATGCCAGGTCTCTTTAGAACACGCTTAGGGTTTACCTCCTTCTCCTCTGGGCAGTACAGGGGCCCTGTTGGATGAAGAACAGCTTTCTGTGCATAATAAAAGAGTTCTGATATGTTCTTCAGGTTTTTTGCTGAACACTGAAAAAAAAGTTTCAAATTTTATATTTTAAAATCAATTACGAGAGCCAAAAACAATTTTTAAAATGTCAACATAGAAGAAAAAAAGCCTGGTATGGTGGGCATGTCTAATCTCTGCACTTAGGAGGCAGAGGCAGACTGATTTCTGTGAGTTCAAGGTCAGCCTGGTCTACAGGGAGACTCTGTCTCAAAAGACAAGTCAACATAGGGTATTCCTCCCTGGGAACACCTCTCTTTCTCAAGAATATTCCTCATTTTCCCTTAATAAATCTACGATCATTGTCCTTTAAAAAAAAAAGTCAACAAACAGTAAGAGGAAGTTTCTTTGAAGAAACTGGAAAACGTGTCTTCTTCTGTAGACATCACATTATGAGTGTTTACAACAGAACTTAAAGAGGCCAACTCTACGTTTTTGGTTTTATTTGGTTTATATGATTTCATAAAAGCAAAAAAAATTATTCCATCCCACATAATCCCCCCTCCTATTCCAAACTTCAAGTTATTGAGCATTAGTCAACAATAAATTTCCAAGTTTAAAAAATGAGGCATACCTCCACACAGGTTTCTATTTCTGTATATTGGTTCATAATAGGAAGGATGGTCTCCATGCTACTATATTCCACCAGATCAGATTTGTTCCCAACCAATATCAAAGGCAGCCTAAAACAAATTGGGCATAATTAGATTTATATTTTAATTTACATCATAACCCATTCTAACTAAAATACTTTAATATAATCTACCCAAGATAACATCTTGGGGCTGGAGAGATGGTTCAGTGGTTAAGAACACTGGCTGTTCTTGCAGAAGACTCAGGTTCGAATCCCAGCACCCACATGGCAGCTAACAACTGTCTGTAACTTCAGTCCCAGGGAATCTGACAGCCTCTTCTGACTTCCAAGGGCATTGCACAACACGGGTACACTCACTACATGCAGGCAATACACACATACACATAAAATAAAAATAATAAAAAATGTTTTTAAAAAAGATGGTATCTCTACTATAGTCAGGTCAAGCCCCCTTGATAGCAGGTTCATTCATTCATTCAGCACACATCTATAGAACACCTGTTACAAACCATATACTCTTCTAAGTATTAAAGACATAACACAGAGAAGCTTCTTCTCCATTCTAATAGTGAAAAACAGAAAAAGAGCAGTAAGTAAATAATTCCCAATTCAGTACTCTAAAGGAAGTGAATAGAGAAGCATGGAAGAGAATAATTCGAGGGAGTTCATCATAAATAGCAATTAAGAAAAACCTTCTCTTGAGAAGGTGACATCTGAGCTAAGGATTAAAGGACAAGATGGAATCAGTCACATGGAGAGCAGGGAAGAGATGGTTGGCAAGAAGGAAAAGCAAGAACATCCTGGTGGGGTGAGAGAACAAGAAAAATATTCCAGAGTGAATAGTAATGCATGAAGAAAAGGTACGAAACGGGGCAGGAGAGGATAAAAGGCCAGACACATACCAACACTTAAACCAGTAAAATGTTAGTGTAGAAGCCAATGAAGGGTTACAAGCAGGAGCAAGATCTGATCAACTTTTTTTTTTTTGGTCTTTTTGAGACAGGGTCTCCCTGTAGCCCCAGCTGGCCTGGATTTGCTATGGAGACCAGGCTGGCCTTGAACTCACAGAGATCCACCTGCCTCTGCCTCTGCTGGGATTAAAGGCGTGTAACACCATGCCCAGCCTGATCGACATTTTAAATGAAATGACCTGCTACTTAAAAAAAAAATTTTATGTGTATGAGTGTTTTGCCTGCATGTATGTAAGTGCACCATGTTGTGCAATGCCTGAGGAGGTCAGAAGAGCGTTGAATGCCTCTGGAACTGGAGTTACAGATGATTGTTAGCCACCATGTAGATGCTGGGAATTGAACCCGGGTCCTCTGCAAGAGCATTCAGTGCTCTTAACCACTGAGCCATCTCTCCAGCCCTGACCTGCTACTTTTTAGAAACACATAATGAAATATTACAGCTTGATACGATCTCAGTTTGCATCAAAATGATCCCAGTGGGAGAGGTACTGATGAGACAAGACTGGTCATGAGTTAACTGTTGAAGTTATGGGACAGGTCCATTACACTGTTCTCTCTACATTTTATATGTGATATTTTTTTCATTAAGAAAAAGCTCTGGAAAAAAAACTTTAAAAATTACTTATAAGTATGCATGTTTTGCCTGCATGTATGTAAATGCACCTGTGTTGGGTAATGTCTGCAGAATGCCCACGGAAGCTAGAAGAGAGCACCAGATCCCCTGGACCTGTAGTTACAGATGGTTGTTATTTGCCATATGGGTGTTGGGAACTAAATTTGGGTCCTGTATAAGAGCAGCCAGTGCTTAGCCATCTCTCTAGCCCCCCAAAAATGTTTGTTTATTTGTGTGTGTGTGTGTGTGTGTGTGTGTGTAGGTCAAATAACAACTTTCTAGTCAGTTCTCTACTTCCACTATGTGGGATCCAGGTTCAAGGTACCAGATTTATGTCATCAAGCTCAGTAGCACGTGCCTTTAGCAGCTGAGCCATATTACTGGTCCATAAAAAGCTTTTAGAAACTATGTTGGCTTGGATTACAAGAATGAAGTGAAGAAGGAAATATTCATATGAGACCTATTTTAGAAGTAGAACCAACAGAAGTATCTCATAAATTAGATACAGGCATTAAGGGAAAGGCAAAAATAAGATAATAAAAAAAAAAGCCTGGGGGCTATGGTTCAGTGGTAGAGTGCTTGCTTGTGTTGCACATGGGAGGGCCTGGGTATGGCCTCAAACACGCACACTGGAGCAAGTACACAGATACATATACAGGTTTGTTTGTTTTGCTTTTTTTGTTGTTGTTTTATTTTGAGACATGGTCTCCCTGTAGCCCCAGCTGGCCTGAAACTCGTTATATAGACCTTGATCTCACAGAGAGTAGCCTGCTTCTGCCTGCCTAGTACATCAACATACCTGGCTCTACATATACAGGTTTTTAACTATCCAAAATGGATGGATCTCCTAAGACAGAGAAGATTGAAGAGTTTTTTTTTTGGGGGGGGGGGTTGTTTGGTTGGTTTTTATTTCTGGGAAGTAGGTGAACAGAGAAGAATTTTGTTCTAGGTAAGTGAAATTTGAAAGGACTATGGGAAATCTAAATAGGTTATCAAAGATGATCAGGGTAGTAGAGAACTGTTACTTGTGAATACTAAATAACAGCTTAGAGGCAAAACAAATCCTCTTACTAGACTCTAGACTCTCAGCAGAAACATCTGCAGCATTTAGTTTAACCCCCCCTGTACCATGTGACTTATTGCTTATATCACCCAACTACATATACCTAACAAAGCTGGGAGGATTTACAAAAACAGTGATTTATAATGAAATGTATGCATCAGAATAATTTATAGAATGCAAAACAAACAAACAAAATAACAAAAACACATGTATTCCAAGTTTATCAAGTCTAAAATTTCAGGTTGAGATGAAAGCACCTATATATATTTTTCGAAAGTCTCTGAGAGGACATTGATAGGCATCCTTGATTAATATCTACTGTGACAATGGTCTAAAAGAATTGTATGGAAGAAGTATGCAACAAAAATACATTGTAGAGCACTTGGAAAGAATTACTGGAAAGTGTAGAGTCCATATAAAGTATAGAGTTAAGCATAGTAGTACATGAATATAATGCCAGTACTTAGGAGGCTGAGGCAGCAGCAGTTTGAATTCAAGGCCAGTCTAGACTACATTTTGAAAACCTATCTCAAAAAACAAAATGGGGGGCTGGAGAGATGGCTCAGTGGTTAAGAGCACTGACTGCTCTTGCAGAGGACCCGGGTTCGATTCCCAGCACCCACATGGTGGCTACAAACCCTCCTTAACTCTAGTTCCAGGGGAATCCGAGGCCCTCCGAAGCATTGCACAACACGGGTGTACTCATTACATACGGGGCTGGAGAAATAAATGACTCACAGGTTAAAAACACTAGCTGTTTTTGCAGAGGACCCAGGTTTGGTTCCCAGTATCCACATGGCAGCAAATAACCGTCCATAACTCTAGTTCCAGGGGATCTGATGCCCTCTTCTGACCTCCTTGGGCACTGTATGACACAGGTGCATTTTCACACATGCAGACAATACACTCATACACATAAAAAAAATAGTATTTTTAAAAAACTACAAAACAAAAACAAACATGCAAACAAACAAAAAAATAAAGTATGCCCACTTTGGGAAAAAAAATCAATAATCAGAAAAATAAGTTACATTCCTGCGATTCAACAAGGGAAAACCTCAAAGGCCAAGGATAAGCTCATCCATGACTGTACCCCTAAATTAAATTACAGCTCAAGTGTTGAAAGCCATTTGCACATGGTACCACTACAAAGGCTATCACAGGGCACAGTGATGTACACCTTTAATCCTGGCTACTTGGGAGGCTAACACAGGAAGATCACAAGTTTGAGAATGGCCTGGACAATATAGTGAGACTCTAGCTCTAAAATAAAATGAGATGAAATAAAAAACAAGATATACAAAAAGCCACAAACTAGATACAATGTTTTAGTGATAGCTAATTTTAAAAAAAATTCCATGGCCCAAACTACTACTTGATAGATCTTGACAAAAATGTGCTTTCTTCTCTGAAGAGACCCTCTTAGAAATGTCTCAAAGAAGAAGAAAAGTGTGAAGAATGTAGTGGGTATTGGATTCTTTAAGGCAGTACTGTACAATAGAATTTTCTGTGGTGATGGTTTTTATTTTCACTGTCCATGACCATAATTATTAGCCACAGGTAGCTAGTGAGCTCTTGAAATGTGGGTAAGTGTATCAGGAGCCTAAACATTAGTTTTATTTCATTTTTTAAAATTAAAAAAAAATATTTTATTATTTTTACTTTATGTGTATGCTTGTATTGCCTGCATGTAGGTAAGTGCACTCGTGTTGTGCAATGCCCGCAGAGGACAGAAGAGGCTATTGGATCTCCTGGAGCTGGACTCATGGACAGTAGTTAGCTGCCATGTGGGTGCTGGGATTCGAACCTGGGTCTTCTGCAAGAACAGCCAGTGCTCTTAACCACTGAGCCATCTCTCCAGCCCCGAATGAATTGCTGTGACATTGGACTGCATCACTTGAGAGAATCATTCTCTTTTTTCCACTTTGTCAATAACTCACCACAAAATTTAAAACACAATAAAAAGGAACATTCAGAGCCGTAGAGCCACTTAGGTCATACGGTCTCCCTTCCAGAAATATGTAGGACAGGCATTTGTGTGCAATCAGATCTCCTGACTATGAAGAAACAAAAATGCTGGAAAAGAATTCTGAAAATTTGAGCAAAGGGCCAGATGTGTACAATTAATAAATGAGTATGATTTTCCCAAAATTAAAAAAAAATATTTTATTTTAGGTATGTGTACATGTGTGTCTATGTGGGGGTATGAGTACATGAGTGCAGGTATCCACAGAGGCCAGAAGCATCAGGTCCCCTGCAGCTACAGTTACAGGTAGTTATGAGTCACCTGACATAGGCACTGGGAACCAAACTTTGCAAGAGCAGTATGTGTTCTTAACAGCTGAGCCATCTCTCCAGCTCCTTCCTATCACTTAAAAAGTTGACATGCTTCATAAATAACTTAAAAAAAATTTTTATTCATTATTTTAATTTTATGTGTATGAATGTATTGGTGCACCCATGTCATGCAGTGCCCGAGGAGGTCAAAAGAGGGCATCAGATTTTCCTGGAACTGGAGTTACCGACAGTTGTTAGCAGTCATGTGGGTGCTGGGAATTGACCCCAAGTCCTCTGCAAGAGCAATCAGTGTTCTTAACCACTGAGTCACCTCTCCAGCTCTCTAAAAAACTTTTATCCAATTAAATAATATTGTGCTGGGCGTGGTGACACATGTCTTTACTCCCAGCACTTGGGAGGCATAGGCAGGCAGATCTTTGTGAGTTGGAGGCCAGCCTGGTCTACATAGTGAGTACCAGGCCAGCTGGGGCTGGGGCTACAGGGAGACCCTGTCTCAAAAAGACATAATAATAATAATAATAATAATAATAATAATAAACAATAATAATAAAAAATAGTGATGATGATGTAAGAAAAAAATTCCATTTTGACTTAAAACTGAAAACTTAAAACACTTATTCACAGAACTACCATTCTGTTTAGAAAATTAGATTATGTGTGTTCCCTTGCTTTTTACACATCACACTTGTATCTTCACACACAATCTCTTTGTATGAATTCATAAATGAAGATCTATATGGTTTTTAGAGAACTTATATATTAATAATTTCATTTGATTCCAAATAAAGCTACATGCAGCCAAGATACATATTACCTTTCTCCCCACTTAGAGATGAAGAAAATAAAGTCAAATGAAGTCAAAGTTTTACAATTTGTCAGTGGCCAAACTTTTACAAAGGTTGTTCACTATTTTCTAAGTCCTATGCTCTGAAATACAGCACACTATGAGCAATCAACAATTCTACACCTCATCAAAGAGGAACTGAAGAGAATGGGCACACACAACACAGAGCAAAGACAGACTCTAAAATCATCAAAATATTTCATCCACTAGTAATTAGGAATCATTACAGTATCAGCTGTTTTTCCTTTGCTCTCAAATCTCTCTGCTGCTTCTAAACATTCTTGCTCCCAAAGAACATATTGGGGGGTGGGGGGAGACTGCAGAGGGCAGAGGTGGGTAAAGAGAGGGAAACTGATAAAACCAATGTAGGGGCCCAGTGACATGTCTTAAAGGGTAAAGGCGCTTGCCTGAATTCCATTCCTGGTACCCATATGGTGGAAGGAGAGATCAAATCCTGGAAGTTATCCTCTGACTTTCATGTGCACACATGTATGTGTGTACACGTACACACACACGCACACAAATGTTTTTTAAAAATATAAAGGTAAGCTGGGCGTGGTGGTGCATGCCTGTAGTCCCAGCACCTGGGAGGCAGAGGCAGGCGGATCTCTGTGAGTTCCAGGACAGCCTACTCTACATAGTGAGTTCCAGGACAGCTGGGGCTACAGGGAGACCCTGTCTCAAAAAAGACCAAAGGGAATGTGGACAACATAAACAACTGATGGAGCTATGTAAAGTCTTGGCTATTCATTACTGTTTCTTACACCTTTTCTCTACTTGGAAATTTTCAATACAAAGTTTGAAAGAAAAAACAATACCTGCTGTCTTTGTCTGTTCTTTCATTTATGAGAGGAATCCATCGGCTTGTTACCTAAAATGAAAATTAACAAGGTTAACCATTATGCAGAATGTTGAGAACCATTCTGTACTTAGATTCCCTAAAACTCTCAACCGAGGATGAGCTTTTGACAGTGCCCCATTAAAGCCAGGCATAGTGGCATGTATCTGTAATCCCAGCTGCAGAGGGTGAGGCAGGGAGATCATGAGTTCCAGGCTGGCCTAGGCTAGGCCAAGAAACTGTCTTAAAAACCCAAACCAAGCCCAGCGTGGTGGTGCATGTCTTTAATCCCAGCACATGGGAGGCAGAGGTAGGTGGATTTTTGTGAGTCTGAGGCCAGCCTGGTCTACATAGCGAGTTCCAGGGCAGCTGGGGCTACAGGGAGACCCTGTCTCAAAAAGACAAAAGAAACAAAACAAAACAAAACAAAAAAAACCCCAAACCAAACCAAATACAAAACAAAAACTAGGGAGACTGAGATAGGAGGACTGGGAGTTCAAGGCCAGCCTGGGCTATATAACAATTCCAGACCAGCCTGAGCTATTCAACAAGAACCTTTCTCAAAATAAACAAACAAATAAATAAATAGTACCCCACTGAAATTTAAGTACAGTGGGAAAAAAAAGTCACACATTCATACCTTGTCAATAGAATGTTTGTTGTTAACAGCATAAACTATACAGATGACATTAGCCTAGAAGAAAAATTGACAAATTAATGGCATTTTAAAATAAAATATACACAGTAGCGTTTAATTACCAACTAGCTATTTTTGAGCCAAAGGAAGAAAAAAAATTAGAAAAAGAAAATTTTGAGTGTAAGAGGAAAATATCCTGTCGGATGGTGGCACACACCTTTAATCCCAGCACTTGTGAGGCAGAGGCAGGTGAATCTCTGTGAGTTCAAGGCCAGCCTGGTCTGCCTAGTGAGTTCCAGGCAGCTGGGGCTAAAGGGAGACCTTGTCTCAAAAATATCAAAAATAAAGAGGAAAATATCCCTAAGGAATTATAGCAAAAAATATACACCCAAAAATGAACAACAAAAATTGAAAATTCTTGGTAAACTGTGCATGGTGGCACACACATGTAATACCACTACTTAAGAAGTGAAGGCAGGAGGATTAGGAGTTCAACACCAGCCTCAACAACATAGCAAGTACAAGGTCAGTCAGGGAGACAGAAAGCTCTGTCTCAATCCCCACCCACCATCAGAAAAAGCAAATTCTTGCTGGGAATAGTGGCACACACCGTTAATCCCAGCATTTAGGATGCAGAGGAAGGTACATCTCTTCTCTGAGTTTGAGGCCAGTTTGGTATACATAGTAAGTTCCATGCCTGCTGGGGCTACAGGGAGACTGTCTCAAAAAAATAAAAATAAAAGTAAAAACAAAACTCATAGAATTATCACTGCTAATACACACGTGCACATACACACACCCACGCGCACAACTACTTTTTAACTTACCTGTGATATCTCTTGATGAAGCTGTTCATCACTCTGTTCTGCCTCTACAAATGACAAAAGTTAGTGTTTTGTATGTTAAATACTTTCTTAACTAATAATCAAGCTGAAAAGCTCTGTGACATCTACCTAATAGAATGACATAGTGGGGCTGGAGAGATGGCTCATGAGTTAAGAATGCTTGCTACTCTTCCAGAAGATCCAAGTTTGATTCCCAACACCCATATGACAGCTCGCAACTACCTATAACTTTAGTTCCAGGGGACCTAATATCTTCTTCTGGCACACATGTGGCACACACACACACACACACACACACACAAATATATGCAGGCACTCACACACACTCATTAAGTAAAAAATAAACAAATCTTCAAGATGACATAGTATAGCACCAGGCTAGGTATTAAAATAAGGGCAATTCCAGGGAAGGAAAAGTTGAACTATGATAAGGAAGTTGGTTAGCAATGAAAAAGAAATAAACAAGAGTACAATCAGACATGGAAGGGCAGCATCTACTCTAGATCTAGGCCAGCATCAACTCTAGAGCTGTCAAAAGGGTCAGACAAAAGAGATCAGCAACTCAAGATTAAGACTGGGTGCTTTAGAGTCAGAAGCTCAGACCAGAGTGCATGTCAGGGAACCTGGATACTATAAGCTTAAAGATATACAGAGTGGGTAGGAGTAATAACAAGGGTCCAGAGAGAAAAACTGCAGCAGAACAATGAAAATCAAGATTTCCCTTTCTGGGACTGGAAAGATGGCTCAGAAGTTAAGAGCACTGGCTGCTCTTGTAGAGGACCCGGGTTCAGATCCCAGCACCCACATGGTGGCTAACAACTATCAGTAACTACAGTTCCAGGGGATCCAGTGCCCTCTTCTGGGGCACTGCATGCATGTGGTGCACTTATCTACATGCAGGCAAAAATAGTTTTCTTTATATACAGATAGAAAAAAAGTTTTCTTTTTATTTAATTTTTTTTTAAACCAGGCAAAGAATTTTATTAACTGTTTTCAACAGGCTTAATTAACAGGTTTCTTCAGCTTAATCTGCTGCAAAGAATAAATCGTGTATAAGCAAAAACTGAAAAGAGCTACAAATGTCCAGGGAGCTGAGACTTAAAAATATTAGAGATGTAGATTTATCAGATCCATAAACAAAATAATTTTAAAAAGCAGTCATAATATAAAAGAGCAGCTCCCAGTAACTTCTTCAAGTTTTATCTTCTTCAGAAGTTGACTCAATTCAGTTTGCCTCATTCTTAGAAGCCTCATCAAAATTCTCCACAAGATCTGGAACTCCATCATGATCATCTTCTCAAGTAGCAAGGGGTGCTTTTCTATCTACAGATTGTTTGGGCAGTTTCAGCTCATCTCCTTAGTCAGATTGTCGGCACCAAGCTGGTTTAGGATGCTGGGAAGCCTGTCAGCTGCTTTGTCTCAGCATGGCCTATAACGGTGAAAGTGCTGCCAGAGGCCTGAACTTTAGGGTTGTTAAAGTGGATCACTGTTCCTTGGTTTGTAAACATATTCACTTCTTCAATACCAGAGATATTGTTTACCCCTAACTTCTGTAGGGAGAACTGTTTTTTTTTTAAACTTTATTTATTATTTTTATTTTTATGTGTATGGGTGTATTGCCTGCATGTAGGTAAGTGCACCCGTGTTGTGTAATGCCCAAGGAGGACAGAAAGGCTGTCAGATCCCCTGGAACTGGAATTACAGACAGTTGTTAGCTGCCATTTGGGTGCTGGGATTTAAACCTGGGTTTTCTGCAAGAACAACCAGTATTCTTAACCACTGAGCCATCTCTCCAGCCCCAGAGAACTGTTTTTTTTTGTCATCTGCTGTAGGTATTCTATGAGGCCACCTTCTTTCTAAGAGCAGTTTCCCACCAATAAGCACGTGTGCCTGCAGTTTGGTGAGTTCTTCCTAGTTCATGAGAGTTTCTTTCATCTTGTCAGAGTAGAAATGGAGTCACAAGGGGGACTAGAGTTTGGGCTCAGGGGGTCTCGGACAGACGAGCTGAGATTAGGTGCACACAGGTGGGGATGCAAGATGGCAGCTATAGGGAGGCTGGAAGTGATGCCTTTTTTTTTTTTTTTTTTTTTTTTTTTTTTGTGACAGGGTCTCCCTGTAGCCCCAGCAGGCCTGGAACTCACTATGTAGACCAGGCTAGCCTTGAACTCACAGAGATCCACCTGCCTCTGCCTCCCAAGTGCTGAGACTAAAATTGTGTGCCACCACACAGAGCAAAGTTTTCTTTTTAAAAAGAAAAAAAAAAAATTCCCTTTCTGGGCCAGTGAGAATTTAGTGTGTAAGGGAGTTTCCCACCAAGCCTGATGACCTGAGTTCAATCTCTGGAACCCATATAGTAAGAGAAAGCCAACCCCCCTAAAGGTGTACTCTGACTTCCACAAGTGCTCTAGCATGACCGTGCCAAAACATAAACAAAATAAATAATAAATGTAATGAAAATAAGCTTTGTAGTATGCATAGTTTTTCAACGATCAGAAACAAGAAAGATGTGCTTCCAATATATAACAAAAATGACAAACTGTGTATATGGTATATAGGTTTGTGCATGTATACATGTGTGAATGCTAAAGGTCAATGTCAAGTATCATCCTCTATCACTCTTCACTATACTTTTGAGTCAGGGTCTCTTTACCGAACCTAGAACACACCAATTGGCTAGACTGGTTGGGCAATGAGCTCTAAAGATCTTCTGGAACTGGAGTTATAGGCAGTGTGAGCCACCTAATGTGGGTGCTAAGAATAGAACCTGGGTTCTCTGCAAGAGCAGTAAATGTTTTATCCACTGAGTCATCTCTCCAGGCCTCTCTGAACACTGTTTTGAAACAGGGTATTCCTACAGCCCCAGCTGGCCTAGAACTTGCTATTGTAAATCTGGCTGGTCTCAGTTTCATAGAGATCCTTCTGCCTCTGCCTCCCATGTGCTGAGATTAAAGGAGTGCTTCATTATACCTGCCTCTCTCTAAACATTTTTAAAAGCTTAGTAAGGATCTATTGCCAGGCCTTCTAAATTAACCCTAGAGCCATACCTAAAGTGGCCACTGATTACCTGAGTAATCTACAATGTGTGTTGGGACTCTCTCAGGGGTGACATCAGCTGGAATGGTGATTTCTTCTGCCCGAGGAGGAACCTTTATTTGCAAACAAATAAAAAAAAATAAATTTGGAGAAATTATCAATCAAACTTTTTAATAGATTATGCAAATTTATCCGTACTATCTCCTTTTATCTATTTTTTATTTTATTTTTTGTCTTTTTGAGAGAGGGTCTCTCTGTAGTCCCCGCTGGCCTGGAACTTGCTATGTAGACCAGGCTGGCCTCAAGTGCTGGGATTAAAGGTGTATGTCACCAGGCCCAGTGTTATATTAGCTCCTATTATCCAAAGCTATCCTTATATGTATTTGTTGTACTTTAAAATATCCTTTTTGAGCCAGGCGTGGTAGGTGGTAGTGCCCGCCTTTAATCCCAGTACTCAGGAGGCAGAGGCAGGCAGATCTCTGTGAGTTCAAGGCCAGCCTGGTCTACATAGTGAGTTCCAGGACAGCTGGGGCTACAGGGAGATCGTCTCAAAAAGACCAAAAAAAAAAAAAAAAAAAAAACCTTTTTTGGGGGTTTTTTCACATATAAAAATTTAAAAAAAATTTTTTTAGGGCGCACAAATTTATAAAACACTTTTTTAAGGGTCAGCAAGATGTCTCAAGGGGTAATGGTGTCTGCTGTCAAACCTGAGTTTGATCCCTGGAACTAACATGGGGAAGGAGAGACCCAATCCTACAAGTTGTTCTTTTCCCTCTACACATGTGCTGTCATACAAGTGGAAGTCAGAGAACAACTTTTGAGTCAGTTTTCTGCTTCCAACATATGGGTCTTGGGGATCAAACTCAGGCTGTCAGGCTAGACAGGCAGGTGCTTTTACCTCCGGAATCATCTAGCTAGCCTCTGAGTTTAATTTTTGCAGAAATCTTTTAGGTATTTATACCCTAAGTAATACAAAACTAATGCTAATGACTCCATAATATATTTCATTTTTCAGATTAATTATCACTTAGTTCTTCTTTAATGTAACGGGGAGAAAAAAAATGTGAATGTTGAAAATACTACCATATGGGGGATGCAGATCATCAATAAAGCTCTTGTTTAGTATGCATAAGACCCTAGGATCAATCCCAGCCATCACATAAATCCAGAAAAACAAAGACACTACCACATGATACATCAAATTCCTATCTCAACAATAAAATTACACAGTTGTATCTTTCTAGCTAAGAGTAAAGAAAAGGGTAAATGCAAACTTTGACATTAATAAAACTATGGAAGAAAGACAAAACAAGTTAAGCCTATAATCCCATAAATTGGGAGGTAGAGGCAGAAGGATCAAAAAATTCAAGACCAGTCTTGGCTATAAAGTAAAATTGAGGCCAACTCGGGTTACATAAGTCTATGTGTCAAAAAATACAATAAAATAAACTAACAACAATAAAAACCTATTTTCATGTTATTGCACTAATGTCATTCCCTATAACAATATCCTAACTTTACATGAGGGCCTGGCAGTATCTCTTCACACCAGAACTTCCAAAATGGAAGTAAGTGTATGCCAGTGGCAGTCCAGTGCAGTGGTATACACCTGAAATCCAAAAACATGGGTGGTGGAAGCAGGAGGGTCAGGAGTTCAAGGTCACCTTCAGCCACAGTAAGTTTGTGGCCAGCCTGGGTTACATAAGACTCTGACTCAAAACATCAATAACAGAGCCAGGCATGGTGGCACACGCCTTTAATTCTAGCACTCAGGAGGCAGAAGCAAGTGGCTCTCTTGTGAGACTGAGGCTAAGCCTGGTCTATTTAGCGAGTTACAGGCCAGCTGGGATACTGGGAGGCCCTGTCTCAAAAAGACTAAATAAATTAAAAAAAACAAAACAAAACCAAAAAAACCAAAAACAAAACATCAGTAATAATAACAATACATCCAAATAAAATCATCTGGTTTTTGGTGGCACTTCCCTATTATTAATTCTATCTCATTTGAAACACGATTCTTTGAAGTAAATTTCTTAGGCAAAAGCAGAATTTATTTCTTATTTGTAAAATGAAGCAGGTAGTCAATAGTAGGTATATCAGAATTCTAGTAATTCTGACAAAAACACTTCACAGACAGGTAGTGTTAGGCACAAGGCAAGCAGCAGCTAGACCTTTTCATCCAATTTTGATTCATGGAACACTCAGTGTCTCAAATTCAGAGCTTCTAGATAATACTCAATTTTTAAGAAAGAGTCACTTACTGGGCATGGTGGTATACACCTTTAATCCCAGCACTTGGGAGGCAGAGGCAGGAGGATCTCTGTGAGTTCAAAGCCAGCAGGCCAGCCTGGTCTACCTAGTGAGTTCCAGGTCACCTAGGGTCTACAGGGAGACCCTATCTTAAAGAAACTAAAAAAAAAAAGGTAACAGCTTAGATGATTTCTAGTACTTTCAGCCTGCACTGAAAAATTGATACAACTACGATCCAACAATTACAAATGACAAGGTTACTGGTCGTTAAGATGGTTGGGGGGGGGTGCTTGCAAAGGAGAGAATCCACTCCCACAAGTTTTCCTCCGATCTATATACATGCGTGCTATGGGGCACATGATGCCCATATACAAGCACACACAAAGTAAAAAAAAAAATTTTTAATAACAAGGTCAAAGGCAGGAAATGAATTTAGGTGAGCTTAGATCTAGTTGGTTCTTTCTTTTTTTTAAATTAACTTTATTTTTATTTATTTATTATTTTTATTTTATGTGTATGCATGTATTGCCTACTCATAGGTAAGAGCCCTCGGAGGACAGAAGAGACTGTTGGATCCCTTGAAACTGGAGTTATGGGCAGTTGTTATCTGCCATGTGGGTGCTGGTATTCGAACCCAGGTCTTCTGCAAGAACAGTGTTCTTAATCGCTGAGCCATCTCTCCAGCCCTAGTTGGTTCTTTCTTAGTGAGGTATCTGCTCTAAAAAATCCTAAGTGTTAAGGAAACACATGCAAAAAAAAAAAAAAACAAGGTGGCAGTTATATCATTTTAACTCACTTTTTATAAATTAAAAAAAAATCCCTAAATATTGGGGCTGGAGTGATGGCTTAGTGGTTAAGAGCACTGGCTGCTCTTGCAGAGGACCCAGATTCAGTTTCCAGTACTCACATGGCGGCTAACAACTGTCCTAACTCTAGTTCCAGGGGATCTGATGCCCTCTTCTGGTCTCCGTGAGCACTGTACAACACAGTTGCACTTAGGGCAAAATACTCACACACGAAAAATAAAACATTTATTTTTATTTTATGTGTATGAGTGTAATGCCTGCATGTGTGTAAGTGCACTCGTGTCATGCAATGCTTTCGGAGGACAGAAGGCGGTGTTGGATCCCCTGGAATTGGAGTTAGGGACGCTGTTAGCCTCCATGTGGGTGCTGTGATTCAAACCTGGGTCCTCTGCAAGAACAGCCAGTGCTCTTAACTGCTGAGCCATCTCTTCAGCCCAAAATAAATACACTTTTATTAAAAAAAAAAAATTTATTTATCGTTTTATGTGTATGCGGGTATTGCCTGCATGCAGGTAAGTGCACCTGTGTTGTGCAGTGCCCGCGGAGGACAGAAGAGGCTGTCGGATCCCCTGGAACAGGAATTACGGACAGTTGTTAGCTGCCATGTGGGTGCTGGGACCCGAACCCAGGTCTTCTGCAAGAACAACCAGTGTTCCCAACTGCTGGGCCATCTCTCCAGCCCCAAAATAAATAAATTAAAAAAAAAAAAATTAAACATGGTGGGGTGTGGAGGTGCACACCTTTAATCCCAGCACTCAGGAGGCAGAGGCAGATAGATCTCTGTGAGTTCAAGGCCAGCCTGGTCTACCTAGTGAGTTCTAGGCCAGCTGGGCTACAGGGAGATTCTGTCTCAAAAAAGAGCAAAAAAAAAAAAAACCCAAAACAAAACAAAACAAAAAACCAAACCTAAACACATTTGGGGCTGGAGAAATGTCTCAGCATTTAAGAGCACTGGCTGCTCTTGCAGATGATTCCCAGCATCCACACAGCAGTTAACAACTGTCCATAACTTCAGTTCCAGGGGAATCCGATGCCCTCTTTTAACCTCTACTGGCATTATACGACACAGGTGCACTTACACACATGCAATACACTCATATACGTAAAATATAATAATAAAATTTTTAAAAAATGTCAAAGAAATTAAATGTTTACCTCTTCTGGAAATTCTTCACTGACCAGAGACATAATCAGTGATGTCTTCCCAACTCTAGCTGTGAAAAGAAAAATTATTACTTTAATAAAAATGTTTAGGTTCTATATAAACTCAAATCCAGCAGCCACACAGGAAGTTTATTATTTGTTAGAAAAAAAAATAATAAACCTACTATCAACATTTAAGAACCTGTGATATCACACGCCTGTGATAACACCTGAAACTATCTTTGAAGATAAGATATGAGGTTTGAGGAAAGACAGTAACAAAACCTTCCTGCATTACTTTTTGAGAGTTGTGTAAGACTCTATCTCATAATATAAATTACTTAATGTTCCTAAAAATGAACATTAAGATCATTTCTAGTTTTTCACCTTTTATTATTTATTTTTTGGTCTTTTTGAGACAGGGTCTTCCTGTAGCCCCAGCTGGCCTGGAACTCACTATGTAGACCAGGCTGGCCTCACACTCACAGAGCTCTACCTGCCTCTGCCTCCCAAGTGCTAGGACTAAAGGCAGCTTATAACTAATGTTGTAATTGGTATTTCTAAAGGATAAATTTCTTAAAGTGAATATTCCTTCAAGTTAGTACCTGATCTTGTTTTTTATTTATTTATTTATTATTTATTTTATTTATTTATTTATTGTCTTTTTGAGACAGGGTCTCCCTGTAGTCCCAGCTTACCTGAACTCACTATGTAGACCAAGCTGGCCTTGAACTTGCAAAGACCCGCCTGCCTCTGCCTCCCAAGCATTGGGACTAAAGGCGTGCACCACCACACCCAGCTATCATTTTTATTTTATGTGTATGAGTGTACTGCCTGCATGTAGGTAGGTTCACCCACGTCATGCAATGCCCTTGGAGGTCAGAAGGCATCAGATCCCCAGGAACTGGAGTTACTGATGGCTGTTAGCCACAATGAAGGTGCTGGGAACCAAATCCAGGTCATCTGTAAGAGCAGCCAGTGCTCTTAATCACCAAGCAATCTCTCCAGACCCCTCTTCTGTTTTTAACTGATACTGTTATTTTTTTTTAATTTTTATTTATTATTTTTATGTGTATGAGTGTATTGCCTGCATGTATGTGAGTGTACCTGTGTCGTGCAATGCCGCAGAGGTCAGAAGAGGGCTTTGGATTCCCCTGGAACTGGAGCTAAAGACAGTTGTTAGTTGCCATGTGGGTGCTGGGAATTGAACCTGGGTCCTCTGCAAGAGCAGTCAGTGCTCTTAACCCCTGAGCCATCTCTCCAGCCCCAAGTCAAATTATTCTTTTAAAAAGAATAAGTCAATTTATGTCCCTGCCAAAAGAACATCAGAATGCCTATTTCTCTACATGTGCACATTCTTTCTTTTTAGTAACAGATTTAAAGGATGGCAAGGTAAAAACAAAAAAACTTTTCTGTGACATTTCCTATCTCAGTGATCTTTAAATTTTTTTTTTTATTATTTTATGTGTATGAGCATACTGCCTGCATGTATGTAAGTGGACCTATGCTGTGCATTGCCCGTCAAGGTCAGGAGAGGGAGTTGGTACCCTGGAACTGGAGTTATGGACAAATGTTAGTCACCATGTGGGTGCTGGGAATCAAACCCAAGTCCTCTGGAAGGGCAGCCAGTGCTCATAACTGCTGAGCCATCTCTTGAGCACCCCCAGTGATCTTTTTTTGTAAAAAAAAAAAAAAAATTTATTTATTTATTTTTATTTTATGTGTTTAAGTATGTTGCCTACATGTATGTGAGTGCACTCGTGTCATGCAATGTTGTAGAAATCAGAAGAGGGCGTCAGATTCCCCTGGAACTGGAGTTAAGGACAGTTCGTAGCTGCCATGTGGGTGCTGGGAATTGAACCTGGGTCCTCTGCAAGAGCAGTCAATGTTCTTAACCCGAGCCATCTCTCCAGGCCCCCTGCCATGATCTTTTTTCAAAAATTATTTTTATTTTATGTGTATGCATGTATTGCCTGCGTGTAGGTAAGTGCACCTGTGTTGTGCAATGCCCGTGGAGATCACAAGAGGATGTCGGATCCCCTGGAACTGGAGTTATGGACAGTTGTTAGCTGCCAAGTGGGTGCTGGGATTCGAACCGAGGTCTTCTGCAAGAACAACTAATGTCCTTAACTGCTGAGCCATCTCTCCAGCCCCCGGTGATCTTTTTAACATAGAAATTTTAATTGTTATTCTAAAATCTGACTTCTAGTCCCGTTTTTTTTTTTTTTTTTTTTTATTTTTTTGAGAAAGGGTCTCACTATGCAGCCCTGGATGGTTTGGAACTCACTATGTAGCCAAGTTAGCTTTGAACTCAGAGAACTGCCTAGTTCTGCCTCACAAGTGCTGAAATTATAGATATATGTCCAGGGTTTTTTTTGGGGGGGGGGTCTTTTTGAGACAGGGTCTCCCTGTAGCCCCAGCTGTCCTGGAACTCACTATGTAGACCAGGCTGGCCTTGAGTGCTGGGATTAAAAGCGTGCTGGGATTAAAGGCATGCACCACCACACCCAGCTATATGTTTTTAAAAGATTTTAATTTAGGGGCTGGAGAGTTGGCTCAGCAGTTAAGAGCACTAACTGCTCTTGCAGAGGACCCGGGTTTGATTCCCAGCACTCACATGGTGGCTAACAATCGTTCACAACTCCAGTTCCAGGAGAATCCAATGCCCTCTTCTGACCACTACAGGCATTGCACTACATGAGTGCACTTAACATACATGCAGGCAATATACTCATAGTCAAAATAAAAATAAAATTCTAAAAACAGATTCTAATTTTTTTAAGTGTATGTGTGCATGAGTGCAGGTGCCTGCAGAGGCCAGAAGAGGGTGTCAGATCCCCTGGAGTTTTGAGTCCAGACAGTTTAAGCTGCCTGATATGGATGATGGGAACCAAACTTGGGTCCTCTAGAAGAGAAGCAAGTGCTCTTAACCAATCTTTCCAGCTCCTCTACAGACTTTTTGATTGTCTATGTCAAAAAAGGATTGGGCTGCTTTCATATGGCCACAACAAAATTAACATTTCACTGTATTTTGACCATAGCCAACATGACAGAATTTCTAGAACTTAATAAACAATACTAGCTTACTCAGCTCTCCACAAAATTTTCAGATAAGAAACATGGGACTTAGTGGCCAGAGAGTGCAGAGGTTAAAAATACTGGCTGCTCTCTCAGAAAACCCAGGTTCTATTCCCACATGGCAGGTCACAAATGCCTCTAACTCCAGATCCAGGGAATCTGACACCCTCTTCTGGTCTCTGCAGGCACTGCAAACACATGGTGCACTCACATACAGTCACTCATAAAATAAAATGAAATGAATAATTCTGGGTGTGGTGGCACATGCCTTTAATCCCAGCACTTGGGAGGCAGAGGCAGGAGGATCTCTGTGAGTTCGAGGCCAACCTGGTCTCCATATCCAATCCAGGCCAGCTGTGACTAGAAGGAAACCCTGTCTCAAAAGATTTAAAAAAGACCAAAAATAAATAAATAAATAAAACAAAACAAAGTGAATAAATCTTATAGACAGGACTCAGAGACAGTGATTTTCTCAAGATCTCACTAAATGATGAGTTGCAGACCTAGGAGAATAACTTAAGCACTCAAGCCAGTGCTTTCTTATGCCATCTTGTTTAAAAGATTGCTAAAATAGAAAGGGGAGGATAATTTAGACTCATCATACATGCAAATAAATACTATGTAGTTCATGCCTTTAAATCCCAGCTCAGGCAGGTAGATCTCTGCAGGCACTGCATACACATGGTGCACTCACATACATTCACTCACAAAATAAAATGAAATGAATAATTCTGGGTGTGGGAGCACGCCTTTAATCCCAGCATTAGATGGAGGCTAGTCTGGTCTACATAGTGAGTTCCAGGCCAGCTGGAGCTATTGGGAGATCCTGTCTCAAAGCTCCCCCAAATTTTTAAATTAAAAAAATATTGATACAGGGAGACCCTGTCTCAAAAAGACAAAAAAATAAATAAATAAAATTGACTCATTGGTGACAGTCACCTATAGCTCAATTTTATTTTTTTCAAACAGCTCAAAAAAGGTTCAAATTTACAAAAAAATTCATAATATTCTATAAAGGATTCGTGTCTTAAATTTTTTTTTTTATGTGTGTGGTGTGTGTACATGTGGGGGTCAGAGGACAAGTTGTGTGTGTTGTTTCTCTCCTTCTCACCCACTGATGTCTTGTGGGTCCCAAGGATCAAACTTAGGTCCTTGGGGTTGGTGCAGGTACCTTTACCCACTGAGACATTTCCCAGGTTCTTGTCTTCTTTTATTCTTTGAGACAGGGTGTCTATAGTCCAGTTGTCCTGGAACTCACTATGAAGACTAGGCAGGTTGTGAGCTCATAGCAATCTGTCTGCCTTAGCCTCCCAATCACAGGCATGAAACATCATGCCTGCCTCATGTCTATCCTTAATACAAATTCCCCACAAACATTTTACCGTATCTGCATTATTATTTATCTGTCACTCTTACTCTAGCAATATCTGTGTGTATGTGTGTGTGACTATTTGAGAATAAGTGTATCTTAATGTACATTTCCTAAAAGCAAATTCATTCACCTATACAAAATATGTCAGCAGTGGGAAATTAACCACAAATACAGTAATACTATCAACCAATCATAACTTTTTTTTGGTCTTTTTGAGACAGGGTCTCCTGTAGTCCCAGTTAACCTGAAACTCACTATGTAGACCAGGCTGGCCTCCACCTCAGAGATCTATCTGCCTGCCTCTGCCTCATGAGTGCTAGGATTAAAGGCATGCACCACCATGCATGGCCTAAGCATTTTTTGTTTTGAGACAGGGTTTCATGTAGCCTAGGGTAGTTCTGAAATATGTATTTGTAGCTGAGAATGACTTTGAACTTCTGATCCTCCTGACTCTGCTTCCAGACAGCTGAGGAATTACAAATTCTGGAATCATAGATGTACACCACCATAACTGGCTTATGTAGTGCTGAGGATCAAACCCAGGGCTTTGTACATGCTAGGAAAGAACTCTACCTACTAAGCTACATTCCCAGCCCCGGAAGCATTTCTTACTTTTTTCTT